TCATTAACTGCAGAGGTGCCTCTTGTACAAAGACACCCATTTCTCCTTTTGGCTCCCGTGCTGGGTGGAATCAGCATCGAATCTCCCCGCTCTGCCCATAAGACCAGCAGTTCCCAGTGGAGCTGCTCCTGACCATCGTGCTGCACTCACAGAAAATGCTGCAGAACTGCAGTTGCAGAACTTCCCTGGGCAACGCACCACATTGTACTGAACACTGGTGTGTTAATTTTTAAAAGCACATACATTAATTTTTTTTTCACATTCTAAGGTATAAAATGTGAATGCTCTGTTGTATTCACTGGGAGAGGCCCTTCTGCAGAAGAGCAGAGGGAGGACCTTGTTTTCCTTCTCCGGAATGGAAGTGCACTGCAGGCAGGTGAAGAATGTTTCCATGAATATTCTGGTGCAGAGGTTGCTGTGGTCTTCCACAGCTAATCATGCTATTATTCCTTCCCAAGGAACCAGTACTTCACCTGCTTTTCTCCTCCTGGATCTTTGGTCCATTTTACATGAAGAAAATGGGGACATGGAGAGGCTGTGTTGTGCCCAGTATCAGAAAGGCTGTCTCTGATCTACCTAATCCTGCAGTTCATAGAATCATAGAATTATTAAGGTTGGAAAAGACCTCTAAGATCATCTAGTCCACCTGTCAGCCCATTCCCAGCATGCCCACTAACCACATCCCTCAGTGTGACATCTCCATGTTTCTTGAACACCTCCAGGGACAGTGACTCTACCACCTCTCTGGGCAGTCCATTCCAGTGCATTACCACACTTTCTGTTCTCCCAGTCCACTGAATCACTATTGTTTTTCAACACCCAGAAAGCCTTTTCCGAGCCATGCCAGGAAGGCGTCCTTCTCTTGCCCTGACGTGGCACTTTAACATATTATGACCATGCTGGATCAGTCCCCTGGACTGAATCTGGTGAGGACTCAGAGTGGCTGTTGATGGAAAACTGAGAAATAACAATAATGAGGATTAAAATTTTCCTTCCATTTTCATCTCAAATTTTAGTCCAGTGCTGCTGGTGTCTCAGATCACCCCTGCAAACTTCTCAGACCATAGAACAACAGTTATCTGGGTCTTGGAAAAGACCAAGGTCATCAAGTCCAACCATCTTCATGACCTACTGAGTTCCATCACTAATCATGTCCTTTAGTTTCATGTCCACACATCTCTTGAACACCTCCAGGGACGGGGACCTCACCACTGCTCTAATGTGTGACCAAAATGTTGTTGTGCTTTTGCTGCCTCCACACTGGTGGTTTGAGGGAAGTGTTGCCCATGCCCACCTCCATCAGCACCTTTACATCACCTTTACTTCACTTCATTTTTTTTTTTTTGCATTTACATTTCCTTGATGGCATGGGTGAGTCGCTCTATCTTTTTTTTCATCAGGGTGGGATTTCAGCTCTGTGAGAGTTATCTTGCTTCTAATGACCTCTCCCACCTGCTGGTAAGCCATGCTCACTTCCTTTGCTCACTTCCTTCGTAACTTTTCTTGTAGCTCAGCTCACCTTCCCTAGGTCTGATGCCATCAATTCTGGCTGTCATCAAGAGACACTGAAGTAAGTGGGAACTTCCCCTTGCTGTCCCCATCCTCCTTCAGGGCACATGGTGGATATGTGCTCCACCCACAGGAGCAAATTAGCACTACAACCAGAGGCAAGTCCATTCCATCTGGCAATAGTGAGGTACAGGATATTCAGCCTGTCCCCACCAGTGCTGGGTGGAGGAGAGTCTAGCCCAGAACACCATGGCATTTACCATGCAGGAAAATTGTCAGCCTAAAAGTACTGAAACAAAGCAGCTTAACATCAGCCACTGAGATCTTTGGGTCTCCAGATAGCAGATCTTTCTTATCTCTCATGTGGAGAACATCATCATTCTGCTCCAGTGCATTTTAAAAGCACACACCCTGTTACAAAACCAGACACCTCTTTGGCCTTATTTCTTATACATGTAAGGAAGAACTCACATACAGAATTCTCTCTGAAAGAGCCCATTCTTCCACAGTGCACTGACTGGCTGACAGCACAGCTTAGTCTCTTCCATAATATTTCCATGGCTTTTCCTAAGCTTCCCTAGGAGGGAGCAAAAGACTTTCAAGCTGTGGTGTCTCCCACGCAGTGAAGGATAGTTCCCATGAAGAGAAGGATAGTTCCATAATTGCTGGCTCCCAGTCACATCATTTCAATGTCTGATTTGTCCTTGCTGACCTGCATCCCCTGGATCAGCCTTGTTCATGGGTCCATCCTCAGTTTGTTGAGTGTGTTGCATTTTCCTCTTCATTTTGCATGGTAATGTTAATCAGTGAATGATCGGTTTCAGGGAAGTCTCTTGCATGTGATCAGGCAAAGCTTTGTGGCAGTGCCCCTATCACATCCCTTGGTCTGTTGCCTGGTGCTAAACATGATCCATCTCTCCATCTACAGTCACTTCGAAGATGGGCTTTCATTGCTGTGATTGAGGTTGGATAAATGTTTTGGGGGTGGAACTAGATTATTTGAGGTCCTTTGCAACCTGAGGCATACTATGATTCTCTGATTATCAAAGCAAACCAAGGGAGCTGGATATCATGGTTGTCTCTGCTGTGAAGCTTTTGATCACTGGGAAGTTTTTGGTGTCTTATGTATGGGAAAAATCCACCACAAAAATCCCGGGTCTCTAAGAACGCAGAAGGCAGAAGATACTTTCCCATAAGGTTGTACCCAAAGAGTGGTTGTCAATGGATCCATGTGCAGTTAGAGATCAGTGACAAGTGCTGTCCCTCAGGGTTCAGCTCTGGGACTGCTGCCCTTCAGCGTCATCACGAGTGACACGGCAGTGGGACGGAGCGCACCCTGAGCAGTTTGCGGATGACACCCAGCCGTGCGGTGCAGTCGACACGGCCGAGGGACGGGATGCCGTCCAGAGAAACCTGGCCAGGCTGAGCGGTGCGCCCAGGGGAACCTCCTGAGGCTCAACACATCCAAGCGCGAGGCGTCGCACCCGGGTCGTGGCAACCCCCGCTGCCAGTACGAGCCGGGGGTCGTAGGGACAGAGCACGGCCCTGCCGGAAAGGACCTGGGGGTGCCGGTGGATGGCAGCCGGGCGTGAGCCAGCAGTGTGCCCTGCGGCCCAGGCAGCCGGCCGGATCCTGGGCTGCAGCCGAAGCAGCGCGGCCAGCGGGGCGAGGGAGGGGATCCTGCCCCTCTGCTCTGCGCTGTGACACCGCACCTGGAGCGCTGCGTCCACAGCTGGAGTGCTCAGCACAGCAGAGACGGGGGCCTGCTGGAGAGCGTCCAGAGGAGGGCCACACGAATGGTCAGGATGGAGCAGCTCCCTGTGAGGACGGGCTGAGAGCTGGGGCTGTGCAGCCTGGGGAAGAGGAGGCTGAGCGAGACCTGAGGGCGGCCTGTCTGTGTCTAATGGGGGCTGTAAGAGAGGTGGGGACAGGCCCTTTAGCAGTGTCTGCTGTAGCAAAACAAGAGGAAATGGTTTCAAACTAAAAAAGGGGAGAATTAGGCTGGATGTAAGAAAAAAGGCTTTTATGATCAAGGTGGTGAGGCACCAGAACAGGTTGCCCACACAAATGGTGGATACCTATTACTGGAGACAGTGTGCCCAGGTGGCCAAGAGGGCCAACGGCATCCTGGCCTGCATTAGAAATAGTGTGGCCAGCAGGAGCAGGGCGGTAATCGTCCCCCTGTACTCAGCACTGGTGAGGCCGCACCTCGAGTACTGTGTTCAGTTTTGGGCCCCTCACTACAAGAAAGACATTGAGGTCCTGGAGCATGTCCAGAGAAGGGCAACGAAACTGGTGAGGGGTCTGGAGCACAAGTCTTACGAGGAGCGGCTGAGGGAGCTGGGATTGTTCAGTCTGGACAAGAGGAGGCTCAGGGGAGACCTCAGTGCACTGTACAACTTCCTGAAGGGAGGTTGTGATGAAAAAGGGTCTGGCCTCTTCTCCCAGGCAAATAGTAGGACCCGAGGAAATGGCCAGAGGAGGTTTAGGTTGTACATTAGGAGAAACTTTTTCTCTCAAAGGGTGGTCAGGCACTGGAATGCCCAGGGAGGTGGTGAAGTCACCATCCCTGGCAGTGTTCAAGAGGCGCCTGGATGAGGAGCTAAGAGATATGGTTTAGTAGCTTGTGGTACTGGGAATGGGAGGGTGGTTGGACTAGATGATCTTGCAGGTCGGTTCCAACCTTGTGATTCTGTGATTCTAAGGTCAGGCTAGAGGGGCTCTGAGCACCTGATGGAGCTGTAGGCATCCTTCCTCCTTGTGGGGGAATTGGTCCAGATGACCTTCAATAGTCCCTACTAACTCAACTTATTCTGTGATTCTATGATTCTGTTCTATGACTGTATGGAACATTTGATCTCTGGCTCATTGTTACAAGAAAATAGCAACCAGAAGTGAGAGCCTACAAGCTGTTTTGCTTCAAGGAGAGCAGGCAAGGCTTCCCTTCCAAACAGAACCTCCATAGAGCCTCGGTCTGGATGGTGGGAAATCCAGACTAGAGCCAGCTCCTGGCTTATTCCTCCACCTGGTGCCAGCTCAGCGCACCTACCTTCTCGGAGTGGCTGGGCACACTTCCCTTCCCCATCGGACACCTCCAGAGCTCCCAGTATTTCCTCGCACCCGGGACTGCCCCGGCAAGGACCGTTCTGGAGGAGATCCCTGCGGCTCCCAGCTCGGGCTGGCTCGGCAGATGGAGCTGCTCCCCAAGGATGCAGAGGAATGCTGGGCTCAGACACCGCTTAAAGCAGAGAGCTCTGCGCTGGGCAAGGAGATTATTTCTGCATTTTCTTTCTGCCGGATGGGGAACGAGGGGTTTGTTTCAGTGAGAGCTGAACGACTGTGCCGCACACTGCTCCATTCCCGCAGGTGAGGGGCTCAGAGGAACAGAAAACCCTGGGAAATATTTCTGCTCCAGACGTGATCTGGACTCGCCTGGCTCTAGGGGGGGGGTGTTTGCAAAGCCACGAGCCAGCAGCGATCACAGTGAGACGAGCTATCAGCTCTCAGTGCAGTAGGCAGCGCAGGGACATCAGCGCCCATTCCCCGTGCACAGACCTCCCGCAGCCCCTGGCAATGCCTGCGTCCACGGCCGGTCCCTTCGCGCTAAGTCCTGCTGGCTTCGTAGCTAAGCTGTGCGATAAAGCTGTCCTTCCCTCGCTCCCCTTCTCCGCCTGCGGCGACAGCGGAACCTCTTCTCTCGCAGCAAGTAAGCGCACAGGGAGCGGGGTCAAACGTGAACGGGCAGCCCTAAATTCCAGCACGGGAAGCATTCCGCATGTGCCGGGCTGGAAGGTGGAAACTGATGAGAACTGCGTTCTGCTTGGGGTGTGTTTGGTGTATAAAAGTCCCACTTCGAGCAGCTGAAGTGGGGCTGGTGAATAATTTGTTCTTGCAGAGCTAATAGAGCAATGGTTTGTTTATGAGTGTGACTTACAGCTAGCTACCTATGGCTCTTCTGGTCAGAATGTGCCGTATACTCTGCCTGCAAGTGCCTGACAGCAATGCTGTGGTGTCTTTATAATCCTTCATAAATGGATTGTTCACATAATAAACATTCCCTTTAGTTAAATATGGGATTATTTCATGTCAGGAGGTTCTCTCCCCCTGCACCAGGAACAGGCAAACACAGCTGAAGGCTCCTTCCCTGCACTGTGAAGCCTGAAAGCCCAGGTTCAGGTATCACATGGCGGGACATGGGCTGAGACCGGGCAAACTCATGCCAGGCACGCCAAGTGCTCAGCAGTATTGCAAGGGGCAGAGGTGTGGGGGTGCACCAAAGTGTGTGGCTTTCTTTCCCCTGTGTGTTGTGTGCTTCATCCCCTGATGCCCTTTAGCTCCTGTTTAAAAGGGTCTAAAGTCCCGTCTCAGTTTCTGCATGCAAGGGTGGCAGCTATGTCAATATTTAATCTGCACACATTAAGGGCTGCTCGTATCCTCTGGGCTCCTTGTGGAGGACAGCAGAATGGCTGATGTGGCAGCAGCCAGTAAACCAGCCCAAATGAAGCACAAGTATGCCCACGGTCCACTCTGCCCCCCCACCGTATCTGTGTACTGGGTTTGGCTCCTCGAGGAGTACAGGGAAGGGAAAAAAAGGGAACAAGAGAAAAGGGAAGAGAAGAAGCTGTGAGAAGGAGAGCAGAGGAGAGAGGCGAGGTGAGGTGGGGCGAGGGGAGGGGAGGAAATAGAAAAAAAGGAGAAAGTCCTAAAATCCCTTTTCCCCTTTGTCTTTTTCTCTCTGAAAAGCGGCAGTTTGTCTTAGAGAAATCCCAGCTAGCAGGCAGGTTGGGAGGGCAAAAGAGGAAGGAAGGAGGAAGAAGAAAACTCAAGGGCGGCAACTCAGAGCTGAGTACACAAAAACATCTTCAAAGCAAGGAGCTTGTTTTTCAAATACACCGTGGTTTCGCTGGAAACAACCAGAGCTGAGCTGGGAGCGGGGCCAATCCCAGGGCTGCTGCCAGCCCCGAGCCCTGGCAGTGCGCCCTAGTGCGCGTGTAACCCAACCTGCACCCAAACTGCCCCCGTCCCACACCGACAGGCTGCCACCTCTTCGGGGCACTACGACCTTTCTTTTTCTTATTCTCTGCAGTCCCTTGCCAAAGGATGGGTTCCACAACAGCAATATTTGCCCATGATGCTTTTATCCTTTCTGGCTCTTTTTCAGGTCCAAGCATTGCTCACCCTGACAACTTGCTGGAAAAATATCCCAGTGTCTCCTTTTGGTGACAGGGAGGCTGCTGTGATCAATATCAAACACAGTGACCTCTGGTATTTCTGATGGCTCCCTGGGCAGCTAATCATCTCCATATATTTAGTTACTGATGTCACAGTGGTGCGGGTAAATATTCCTGACATATATTGCTGGGGAATGCTGTGCTAAGCAAGATGGATTTCTTTCTTCTTCCCCTCTGTACGCACTGCTCCTGCGAATGTGAGATCCTAAGGGTGCATCAGACCGCACAAATCCCCAGACTTGTGTCATCTGCTCCATCTTCTGCCATTTTTGCTGCCTGCCACTGGATGCTTTTTCAGATGCTGGGATCTTGGCAGCTCTTGATACAGCTGAGCTGTGTGTGGCATTACTGTGCATTTCTCGACAAACTAAGGTTTTTGGCTTTAACATAGACCTGGTCTGGCAACAATTCTAGTCTAACACCCTAATCACAAACTCTGTGCTTACATATCTTCCACCCCTTTTGCAGCATGGACTCTGGCTTGGTGTAAGATATGTGCCCTGGGAGTTACAGGACTTTAATAAGGACAAGAAATGGTGGATTGGATGAAGGGAAATATCCTTTTCCCCAGGTGGAATGAGATGGGTTGCTGTGTGACAGGAGCGCTCTGCATTCTCTATACACAGATGGGAAAACCTGGCAGAGCAAACATTCCATATAAAAACACAAAAATTTTGATCAAATTGTGCTGTGCAGCCCCAATCCCCGAGTAGCAGCCCTTCTCCCCAGCCCTGTTCTCCGGGCTGGATGCAACAGGATGCAATACGGTCGCGGCCAGGTGATGGTCATGGGAATTCTGGCATCATCCCACTCCAAAAAAACTCAGTGAGCAGGCTGTGCCAGCACAGAGCACAGTGAGCTGGAGCCACAGGGCTTGGAGATCCACAAGAATCTAGGGCTGTTAGTGTTAGTTCCTTTTTTTCACTGGTCATAATCCTCTGTTTTGTAAACTAACACAGCAGATGTGAGTGAAGAAGTTTGGAAAGGAGACAGGGAACACCTTCACACAGTATTGTGGCTCTTCCTTCAACAGGAATAGAAAAAATTAAGCAGCAAGGTTCTTAACCAAGGGCTCATGGAAAGTCAGATTACGCACCGCAAAGAAAAACATGACAAAATTAAAAAAGAACAGGACAAAGAAATCTATTGGACCAGAAACTTCACACCGGTGAAGCAGAAGCCATCCAAGGAGTTGAGGCCCATGCTGGGGGCCGTCACGCTGGGTCTCATCCTGTTCATCGCCGCGGTGGTGGCCTGGTGCTACTACACGGTGTCCCTGCGGAAGGCGGAGAGGCTCAAGACGGAGCTGATGGACCTGCGGGCGGACGGCTTCGTCATC